TAACTCGGAGTATGGATTTACTAGTGGTCGAGGTTTTTTGAATTTTCTTGGATAACTACTGACTGCAGCACTTATATCCACCTCGTGGATTAAAGCCTCGAGAATGCTCTACCATTTGTTAGTCATAAATGTTACCTATGAATTTTTCAAAAAAAAGAAAATTTTAGAAAGAGTGTTGCAGAACTTTCTTTCCAACCTAATAAAACGGACCTCACTACACTTTGCTAAATTCAAACCGATTGATCCCAAGAGAAAACTGAAGAGCATTTTCCGTTTTATCAGAAAGTTTCATAATGACTTCTACGCGAACGACATTAATAGAGGATTCCACGATGGAACGAAAGTAGAAGGGGAAATTTACCTAGTGGAGAGACAGACGGATCCCCTAAGGAGTGACCAACACGCAATTCGCATCGAAGGATATGCCCTGGCGATCTAGCATGGCCTTCCCTTTGGCGCAGTTGGCCGGAACGCCCACCGACTATCTAATCACTCGCCGCAGGTCTATACGTGGCGAGTGATTAGATAGCAGAGAGAGCGTTGAAGAGGGCACAACGATGAGAGTCGCATCAATGCGCAAATCAACGGGCAAGGAAGGGGTCCCATTTCTCGGGTTCTGGGCCGTTTCACATGGTTCTTCATCCCTGCTACGGACCCCCTCTGTCCTTATTTCGAATATGCTACCTTTACCTTTCTCCATTGATAACCTGATTGAAGAAATGACATAAGGGGAGATGAAAAATGAGATTTTGCTCCGCATTTAAATGGATTTAATCACACTTTGCAGTTCAATTTCTTTCAGCGCAAATAAGAAAGTCAAACCGAATGCTCCTAACTTGAAATTGAAGAGCACATTCCATTCTATGAAAAAGAAGTTAATAATAGCCTTTTGCAGTTACAATATCAGAGAAATCTTCCACGGACTATGGTGTGCAGGTCGAGCTCAACGGCGTCCTCGTGAAGCCCTCTGACGGTTTCTGAAACGATGATTGAAAAGGGGTGCGCACACTCACAACTAACCTCTCTAGGAAACTGTTCAACAGTGAAACGGTTCAAGGAATTATGTAGGAGTTTGTGGCTGGAGCAATTACGGTTAGAATCCTTGAGCTCGACAAAGATGGCCGTTACGTGATATTCCAAGAACGGTCAGCGCAGCGTGGAAAGGTGTTTTTCTGCTTATCAGGGATATCTAGAAATATTTTCGCCTTATAAGTTCTATCAACGGTGGCACCTCATGCGATGAAAAATACGATGATGGGAGCTATGAGCAAAATGCCTCCTTTTCTGCACCCTCGCCCCCTGCATATATCCTTTCGCTGGCCATACATAGCGCACCCTGCATGACCTTTTCGGAACTAATTCACAGTCTCACTTCAATGCAACGCTTAATTGCTGCTTTATGGATGGTATGTTTGCAAGATGCTTTCCCCGGATCTCTCTTCGGAAGTATAATAGCAAGGGTGTACATACTGATTCCGGTTCCTGGATGGCTAATTTTGTTCTGCAAATCTGTTATAGTTCATCACTATGTTCATTCATCTATGAACGTAGTGATGTAAGTAAATTATGGAACTTTTGTGATGGTCGCTTCCTAAAGTTCCTCCAAGTTCGGTACTTCCTACATCCTACCAATGTGATCTGTAAGTCCAGTGAGGATCTGATTTACAAAATCTTTTCAAAGCGAGAGATTACGATAAAGTGTGTGTGCAAGCATGGAAGTACATGCACCAGTGGAAGCAGTAGTCAGGGGCCTAAGGAAGCGAGATGTGGCCTTTTCGTGGCCAAAGGCGCGCTAGTTCAGCGCCCTGGGGCTGCCAATCCTTTCTGAGCTCCGCCTCGCCGTTTGTGCTCCGCCCATCACTGCATTGCTAGCAGCAATTTTTTGATCTGTATTCGCATATGTTTTGATCTGTATTCAGGTATTCCACTTCGAGCGTACATACTATAACTTTCTCACGGAATGCGTTATCAATCAAAGTATGATCTCTGCTGAAATGATGGAGGCTATCGGTTTAACATGTGCAAACGACCTCTCTTAGTTGGTTGCTAGCTCGTCCATTATCGGAGGTCAACGGGCAAAGAAAGGGGTCCCATTTTGCGCGTTCTTGACGGATTTCTTTGCTTTTTTCGCCACTGGGGCATTATTCAGCATTTCCACTTCCACTACAAGTCCAACCCAATCTTATCCTCATCTCTCGCTTTGAGTTTTCTAGGTGGGAAACTGAAATGAGAGTCATTCGGACATCAATTGCGGAAGTATGTAAGACTGTCTTAGATGAGAGGTTGTATCCACTGGAACGCATCGATCTATTTGAGGATAATCGGCTTTCCTTTGTGCTACTGTTTACTACGGTCCTCGGCCCAATACTTCAAAAACTCACGCGAATTCGCAGTAATCGCGTGAATTTTTGAGTTTGAAAGCGAGTACTGTACATTGCGGGAGACAACTGTTAGCAACAGTCAATTATTTAAAGGCAAAGTTCGGGCTCAGACCCACCTAATAAGCCCTTAAAGTGGCTAGAAGTGCATGGGACGCAACTGCAGGCGACTCGCCAAGTTCCCGCATCGAAATGCGTCACTAAGGCGCTAGGGGCCAAGGACTTTGACACGCTCCACCTGTTGCGACACGCTCCGCCCACCGCTCGATATCTTGTCTGCGTCGCAATGCTGATCTGCTATGCTCTCTCTTCTCGGACTTCTCTACCGCTCTCCGCGCTCACATTATCTCTCATCTCCCTGCCGGCCTTTTGAACTTCTCCGCAGCGTAGAGCAAAAGGCTCGTATTTCCTGTGTATTTCACGATTTTTTTCCTTTTTTCTCCACTGGCGGTCCACCTCCCACCCCTACATCACATTTGAGTAGAATTACCTCATCAGTTTAAGCTGAATCTTGCCTTTAAAGGCAGCTCCTAAGACGGTTGCCATCCAATTGGTGCTGTGAAATGCTCTCACTCCTACTTGGCAGGCTCATTCTGCAGCTTGATCCAGTGTAGATTGGACTGTCAAGAACACTTTGTCAGCAGTGGAGTGGAAGAAAGTGAGAAGGTCATATTCTTCAATGGTTTCAGGTTTGCCTTTGCCTTCGCCCGCGATGTAAAATCGCGAAAATGTCAGCTATGGGAACCACCTCTAACATTTATACAGAAATATTGCCTTGAAGGATTGCGGGTTTGTTCTGCGATCGTTGCTTTCCAGCCGCGGATTCTGGGTGGGGTCTAACAACGGGGTCGGTGGAACATGGATTGTTTCATCAATTTGTAACTTTCAGCTGTAACTTTCATTTTCAGTTTTTGATTAGTTTTCTGTACACTGTAGTGAAGTTTACACAGCATATGAAAACTGTGTCTTTTCGTGCACTGTTCCGAAATTACGAAGAATTCGCAGTATACGTTCTTATAAGGTAGGAGAACATATGGATTTTTTCATCGAGCAACCTCCAGTAGCCATTTTACACCGTATTGTATTCATTCGTGTGAGACATCATTGAAGAACATTATTAGTACCGAATTTATCCTTTGTTTTGCTTATTGTTTCCTTTGTTTTGCATTTATCCTTTATACGTCAATTGAACGGTAGCGTCCAACGCCATAGGATCTCTTTTGTGAACTCCACTTCTTCCTAAACCTAAAACGAGGCCTTTTTTCTGTGTTCCACGCATACACCCGCACGAAAAACCATTCCAAAAAGTTTTAAGTACATTGGAGGGGCTCCTTGTGAGATAAATGATTTTGCCATCAACACAACACTCTGGGACGGTGGGAAAGTCTCCTAAACGGCCAGTCTATAGTTGGCCACTAGGTCGCGTTGACGTCGCCTTCGTCCGCACCTAAAAAGCATTGGGAAAGGCGGGAAACTCAAAAAAAATCTAGGCAACATCTTAAGTGGCCAATGTATAAGGTGGCACTTTGCCTAGACGGCGAACCTGGCAGAGAAAGGAGAAAGTGCATGGAGATTGCAGAGACGCAGAGGGTCATGTAGAGGGCGACTAAAATGTACCCCTGAGTACATTTTAGTCGCCGTCTATCTGCGTCTCTTCAATCCCCATGCACTTCCCCTTTCTCTGCACGTCATGCATTGGTCGCATTGAGCGTCTCTGCGTCCCTGCCATGCGCAGAGCGCAGGGAAGAAAGGGGTTCGTGGAAGGTGTTGAGTGTGGGCAGCAAGAAAGCCACTGGAGCTATCGATAATATTGATAACTTTCTGCCAATAAGGTGATCAGCTGTCCCCTGCAGTGTTCCACTTATTGATCGTGTTATAGCTCCTTCCTTGGTCCTGGGAGCATTTCACCCTGTACAATCATCTAGGCCATGATCCCACGTCACAAACACGTCGATGCGCGCTGCATTACATGGTTGAAGTTCGACGCGACTTTTGCTAGGAATGTAGTGAAGTTCGCCATTCAGAGCGGGGTCATCTGGCTGTCTCGCCTTTCATTATTCACCGTTTACGGCCGTAGTTCACCACCTTTAACTCCCAGTCTATGGCACTTTACTACCGTCCCTGGGGTCCACGATTCTTTTCAATACGGTCTACATGATGGATACATAAAGATCATTCCAGGAAACATACGAAAATTGTTGACACTTGGCTACATACTATATCTTATTTCCATAGTGGGCTTACTAAGTCTGTCTGTCTGCCTCTCTGTCAAAATTCAGCTGTCATCTGAAAATACGGCGCTCCTGCCATGTGGAGCAGCGCCAGCAAATTAAAACACACATGGACCAAGCGGGCCCCATTTACAGCGGACGGGGTACCCCCAAGGCTCTTAGGCGGCTCTAAAGCAAGAAACTCCTGATTCAGATTCAGAACAGCCCAGAGGCCTAGAAAAGATGGGTAAATGTGTGCCTTGAATTCACCTGTATCACCTGTCGTCCCGTTGATCATCGAATTGCTCAAGCGGGCCAGCAAACGCCTCTTCCATTCGCTCCCTGTGCGTGCAAGAGTGTGTTGTTGTAGGGGTTTTTGTTAGTTCCATGTGTACCCTCCTCCTTCAACACGTGATTTCATCTCCTTTCGTTTAGAGCTTTCGTGAAGAAGTCTGACCATCGGGCCGGCGGTCGTCCAGGTGTTCGTTTGACGTCCCGAGGGATCCAGTCGGTAACCGCTCTGGTCCAACGGTCATCGCAAAATCGCATGACGTGTCCGGCCCACCTTATCTTCGATTCCTTGGCGAAAACGGCAGCGTCCCTGATCTTCGATCGTTGGCGTAGTTCGGCGGAATTCCCCTCTGCACTTGCGTGTAGGGTTACTCCTAGCATCGTCCTCTCGACAGCGCGTTGGATAACGCTGACCGCATGCTCGTCCTGCCTGCGCAGAGTCCAAGTCTCTGAGGCGTAGGTTAGGGCAGGAAGGACAGCGGAATCGAAGAGGTGGGCACGGAGCCGGATGTTCTTCGTCTTCTTCACTACTCCCTCGATGTTCTTGTACGCTCCCCAAGCCGCTCGTTTCCTCCTGCTCAGCTCTGGAGCTAGATCGTTCATCATATTGATTTCCCGACCTAGGTACACGTAGCTGGAGCATTCGGTGATGTTCGTTCCGTTGAGGAGATCCGAGTAGAAAGTCGTGGATGACTTTCTCCATTGCCCTTCGGGATGCAGTAACTGTTCCATCCGGACGTCGGAGGCAGGTCATCTTGGTCTTGTAGCTGGCAAAGCTTCGGCGGGCATTGCGGATGCTCCTCCCAGCCTCTGCTGCTTCAGCTAATACTGCTGCTCTTCGCTCCTTGAGATCTTCCTTTATCGCCTCTCTGCATAGCTTCGCAAGCTCGGACGTGAGTCGGTGATTGCCTGCAGCTCGTGCGGCTCCACGTGGCGTATCAGCTCGAGAGTTTCCGTAGACAGACGTCCTTTGGTGACTTGCAAACTCTCTGCCTTCCTTGCCACTCTCGTGAATGTTCAACGAGCCGATGATATTCCTCGTCGATGTTTCTCGATGACGGAATCCTCCCATAAGCTGACGAGGGAAGCGAAGTGGTCCCAGTTGATGACTGTCCTGGGGCTTCGCTTCCTGAACTTTGCTGCTCTCTCAACACGCATCGAGAAGTGGAATCTTGCGCGGAGGAGACGATGGTCCGATCCCGTGTAGAACTTTGGAACAACAGCGACGTCGGTCAGGCAAAACCTTCGATTGAAGATGATGTGGTCTATCTCGTTATGGAACTGTCCATCAGGTGACTCCCAAGTCCAGCGAAGGTGAGAGGGCTTCTGGAACTGCGAGTTACCATGGATGGTATTGGTCGACATGATAAACTCAGACAGTCTTTCGCCCTGCTCATTCCAATCCATTCCGTGAGTACCGATGTGAAGTTCTTCAGCCGTTCTTCTCGGGCCAATCTTGGCGTTGAAGTCGCCGACGATGACCTTGAAGAAGGTATGGTCTTCCTTGTAGAACTTCTCCAATTCCATATAAAATGCTTCGTGTTCCTCCTCGTCGTAGCTCGATGTTGGTGCGTAGGCGACGAAGATTGTCAAAGCAGGAGTTGAACCACATCTTCTCAATCTCAAACGTCCGATTCGGGTCGTAAGGCTTTCGTACGAATCGATGTTTATGGCCAAGTGCGTGTTGACGAGGACACCCACACCGCCAACGCCTCTGCTGTCGCATGTTCCAAGGAACAGTTCTTCTCCAGTATCGAAAACGGCGTGTAGCGGGCGGTGCCTTCTCGTCTCGGTCAGTCCGATGACGTCGTACTTGATCTTCCTGGCCTGCATCATCAGATCTTCGATGTGAGCTTCGGATGCAAGCGTTCGTGCGTTGAAAGTACAGATCGCCATCTTAGTCCTTCTTCGTTTAGGCAGCCTATCCGGGCCCTGAGATTCTAGCAGCCTCTCCCGAGCGGTCCTACCCAACGCTGCCGTATTGGGGGCTCCCTCAGGTTCAGGGGAATGAGGCCCATCCATATTGCTGTTTTCGGCATATTGAAGGCACACGAGTAGCTTGCCAGGCTCTGTCGTGCGGGCTAGGATAGACCTCCAGGTAGTTAGCCACGCTATCCTGGAGCGGAACAAGGGCTTATTTTTGGAGGCGGCCCCGAATCGCCTCCCATGTACTTCCCAGTCACTTGAATGCAAGCTTTTGGCTGTGCCGACATGCAGGATACCAACCGCACACACACAGAGCGCACCACACACGCAAGCATGCATGGATACGCCTGAGTGGAGACAGCTGGTATGAATCAACACAGCACTACAGAAACAGGGAGTCCATCCCCTGAATCCACCTGCGTCTCAGGGCAAGTACATGGTGGCTTTTGGTCCGCGATTTACCCTCTTCAGAACCTGAATGGCGGAAACCAATTCAGAATTGATCTGACCTAATGTTTCACTACACTAAAAGGCCTTCCAGACCAGCTAAGTCATCACATATGTGAGGGTGGAGAAACAACAAAAACTGGCGACAGTGCGCAGTGCAAATTGGATAGGAGTTGTTCAGAGATAATGTAACCATGATCGTCTAGCTTTCTGGAACCGCACACTAACACGTACGTCACGTTGCTTCAGTGGGACAACATTGACAGGGCGATGTAGATGTCGAGTGAATATCTTGTTTTCAGCCTCCCATCTTTGGGGGCGTGCCTCTTCTGTGATCCATCGGCGTCCGGTCCCTCTGGGATCGTTCAATTGATAACAGACTATAAGAACGCTGACCGTGCACAGGCTGTCCCATGCAACTCGTTGCCAGGCCCATGTCGTGAAAGAGTAACTAGCATTATAAATGGAAGTGGGATGCACTGGGCATCCCATATGGGATCGAATAACGTGGAAAGCCTTCTCTTTAGCTTTATCTATCTACACTTAGCTTACCTTTACTTTTATTTTCCCGGTCATTTCGGAATCGATTTCGATGATTCTGACAATGAGTGAGGTTTGAAAAAAACTTCGCCTACTCTGTGATACCCATTGTTCAACTAGAGCTCCTGGAGGTGACCTACAAGGTGCGCCATGAAACCGCAACCCACATACTGTTAGAGTGGGCGTAAATACCTCCTCAGGAACTTATGGGTTTCAGGCGAGCAATCCTTGTGAGTCAGCACCGAAAAACTCTAAGCTCAATTAAGCAGGCAATAATTAGTTGCAGCGGGCGGGATCGCGGACTCTGTACCTTGGAACATATCTTTGTTCGTTCATTGTTCTT